CACTCAGACACAGTATACTGCCTCCGAGCCGGCCAGTCCTTGTGTTATCCCCTTAATGCCGAAAGCCAGGAAGGGAAACAACAAGTACCATCTTTAAACGTCTTTTGGTACGGTAATCGATCCACCAACCTTCCGCTCTCCGGGAAGACGCTCTATCCACTTGACCACTGCTGAATGGTTCATTGTTGTAGTGACCTTGTACCTACTTCAGTTCTGTCTTTCAAAATGTCAGTATTTTACTTGTCGCAGGTCCGGGGACACAAGTAACCCGGTCGTCTAAGGCGCCGCAATTGCAGAGTTGTGTCCCTTTGGGCAGGCTAGAAACCTATGACTGTGACTTGGGTTCAACGGCACCTTGAACAGTATTCCAGTTATATCACGGTATGTCATCGGGTCTTAGACGTTTACCACATGCCACATTCATTCGTATAGTTGCTTGCCAAACACACCTGGTATATAGATGAACTTTTCCAGAAGAAAACAAAACATTTGAATATCCCAGATATATGATACATATTAACAACGCGTGCTGTCTGACGTTGATTAATGAATAATTTGCATACTCGTATATGCAAGGGGCCGACGTATGGTTCTCAGTAGGAAGTGACAACTTGGAGACGATGGCTTGTGGTATATACAGTTTTACTTTATACATGTAGATATATACATACAAAAGACACTATGTGCCAGGTCAGTACATAGTGGTAGTGGTTGTTGTCTAGGTGCCCCGGAGCACCCAGCCTAACCCTAGGTAGGCTAAGGGTAAGACCTTTCTTTTCTCCTGCCTCTCAATCTCTTACTTACTTACTTACTTATATTGGAGATTTAACGTGCGCTTTCCGACTGCAAGCGTATGTCGCACACGGGCCAGGCCAGGCCATTTAATGTGTTTCCAAAAAGGGAAAAAGTGAGTTTGTGCAACCCAGGAGGGGGGCTTTAAAGGTTGCTTATATAGTAATTTTGAAATTTTGAGATTTGGAAAGAATGCCAAGAGTGGGTGGGGGACGAACTAAGGGAGCTGTGTGTGTTGGGTGGTTGTTAGATAAGGTAGTTTTGGTTTTAATATTTTATTTGGGGTTTAAATGCGACTAATTAGTCCTGTTTTAATTAGGTATATGCTTAGGCTTTGAATTTTTCTAATTTATGTTGTGGATTTAGGATTGATTCTAGTGTAAGTCCGGTTTTAAGATTTAGGGTGGTCTGTAGTGTTGTTCGGTGTGTTTGGTAGTGTGTGCAGTGAATGAGTACGTGTTCTGGTGTTTCTTGTTGTTTGCAATGTGGGCAGTTTCCTGTTGTGTGTAGATTAGCTATTTTACGGTGATTATTTAGTTTGGTGTGGCCTGTTTGTAGTTTAGTAATTATTCTGTCGATTTTTTTGGATGGGTGTAGTATTTTTGGTTTATTTAGTTTTTTTTTAGTACTTTCCTGATTTGGCTATTTGAGTTTTGGTACATATTTTGCCATTTTTTGTTGATTTTTTGTTTAGTGACACTTTTGATTTCTGATTTTGTGCTGGGTAAGTTTAAGCTTATTTCTGGGAGTTTAAGGATAATTTTGCTGCTTTATCTGCCTTTTCATTTCCAAAGATTCCTACGTGGGCGGGGATCCAAATGAACTCTATTTGTTTACCTGCCTTAGTTAAGTTGTTTGAGCTATTGAGTATTTGATTTATTAGTTTGGGGTGGTTTTTAGTGTTTTTATTTTTGAGGGCTTGTAGTCCACTGAGGGAGTCGGTTAGGATGAGGATTTTTTGTTGTTTTTTAGATTGCTGATTGTGTAGTGCTGAGGCAATGCCCATTATTTCGGCCGTGAATATGGATTGGTTGTTTGGGAGTCGGTAAGATTGTGTGTTTTTGGTTGGTTGTGCGATTTGGACTCCGAAACCTGTGTGTTTTGAGATCGGATCTGAGGATCCGTCTGTGTATATGTGACACCAATTTGGCCAATTTTCATGTATGTATGCTGGTGTGGTTGTTTTAGCGATGTTAGGATCGGTCTGTTTATTTAGGGTATCGGCTAGTGTTGTGTCTATTTTTGGTATTTTAAGTTTTCGAGTGAAGATATTGGATGATTTATTGTTTTGTTTAAGATTATTTATTTTGTGTTCATTTAGGTAATTGGTTATTCTTTGGGAAATTGGAGTAAGTAGTGGATGTTTCCAATCTCTCTGGACCAAGGCTTATATAGCCAAGGTCACCTGACATTTAGTAAGAAATAAATATAAATGTAAACAGTAATTCATCAGTGACATACTTGCACATCTCGTTCAGGATGGCAGACGGTCGATGTACACAAAAATGGGGATTAACAATTAGGATTAGCATCTTATAAATAACAGAAATTAAGTGTTTCAAGGCATATAGATGTCATGGCTCCAGGGTAATGAGCCTTTGCAATTAAATGCTCTTCAGACAATGGGTGTCGTAAATCAGTCGTTATGACAACTTTCCTCCGCTTGGACCCAAAGCTTACATGAGTCCAAATTGATATGTGTGAACTTTTTCACCTACGAAAACAACCAGGCAAATGTGGACAAAATCAGTTACATGAAATCCTTACGCAACAAATATATCTATGCAATGACGGTATGAAAGAGATCATCTAGCCAATTGGATTTAGTGCCAGTTTGAAAACTAACCAAGTGATCTTTGTAATGTTCAATTTCACTACAAGGTAATTACCGCTTTGCACAGATTCAATAAATATATCATGGAGGTTCTTTGAATTCAGGAGTCTGGCTTGGCGGTGCGACTCAGTACCGATTAATGATAATGAGTAATGTCATAAAAAGTACAAATTAAACATCTCAGCAAAACTTTCGCATAAAGAAATTTGAAACCAGGAATCTAACTTTACGGCGCGACTCAAACGGTACTTGTGGTTACTATTGCTCTTTTAAGTACAATGGGTGCTCTACCCGTGTCTTTGACGGAGCTTGCCCAGATATTGTGGGTGCGATGCCCAAGAAAAAAAATCCTTAATTCCGACATCAAAACTCTGAAATGCTGAATACTGCTGTGCTGTTAATTACTTAATACTGACATACAATAAACATATGTGTGGGGGTGGCTCACCCAAGAATATCCCTAATCTGAATTCAAAGTCCTAGACAATACATTCAATTTTGTACCAAACTGTGCACATTAATAACTTGTAACAAATGACAAATTTTGTCGTTTAGATTTTTGAAATTACGAGTCGAGCTTTAAGGTGTGACTCGATAACTCTACAGCTTAGGCTTGTCCGGGCCCTAGCTGCAACTATATGTCTGGCGTGGCCTGGAGACATTTCAAAGATTCCCTACACAATAACTTCAAAGATCTAGCTTGACTTAAGACGTAATTTGGAGTGTCTTGCACATGTACAAAACTGTATTTTGGAAAGACACATTTTGGCATTAATATACTGGCTTTGATTAAACATACCTGGTTGCACTATTCAACAGTCACTCAATATATATCCTTGATTGAGTCCATGTAAGTAAACACAAATTCGTAAGTCCCCATGAGACCTCTTGTACACAGTGTCCATCTTGTAGGTGCCCGTGAGGCGGTTTCTGTATTGTGCAGGGTCTGCATGAAGATGGCTGGGGTCGGGTCTCTGTGGTATGGCGTGTATACTTCTTTTCTTAGGTCATGTGCAGGAACGGCATCTTGAAGGGGGAGTCTTAGCAGTGTTGCTAAAATATTCGAGCAGGGAAGGTTTGGGATCGGAGAACTTGTTCTTGATCGGAGAGGTTCTTGTTCTTTCTTCAATCTTGTTAAACACCGCTTCTTCGTTCTTGATGATTGGCCTTCAGGAAGGTAGTATATCCTTTTAATAAGAGACTGTCACTTCCTACAGTTTTGTGAACCATGTGCCATGCTGCAAAGAGGTACAGGAAAGGACAGAATAAGAAGTTTGTCATACCCGATAGCTCCACCAAATTAATAACGACGTGGGTCTGACGTTGATTAATGAATAATTTGCATACTCGTATATGCAAGGGGCCGACGTATGGTTCTCAGTAGGAAGTGACAACTTGGAGACGATGGCTTGCGGTATATACAGTTTTACTTTATACATGTAGATATATACATACAAAAGACACTATGTGCCAGGTCAGCACATAGTGGTAGTGGTTGTTGTCTAGGTGCCCCGGAGCACCCAGCCTAACCCTAGGTAGGCTAAGTGTAAGACCTTTCTTTTCTCCTGCCTCTCAATCTCTTACTTACTTACTTACTTACTTATATTGGAGATTTAACGTGCGCTTTCCGACTGCAAGCGTATGTCGCACACGGGCCCGGCCAGGCCATTTAATGTGTTTCCAAAAAGGGGAAAAGTGAGTTTGTGTAACCCAGGAGGGGGGCTTTAGGGGTTGCTTATATAGTAATTTTTGAAATTTTGAGATTTGGAAAGAATGCCAAGAGTGGATGGGGGACGAACTAAGGGAGCTGTGTGTGTTGGGTGGTTGTCACATAAGGTAGTTTTGGTTTTAATATTTTATTTGGGGTTTAAATGCGACTAATTAGTCCTGTTTTAATTAGGTATATGCCTAAGGCTTTGAATTTTTCTAATTTATGTTGTGGATTTAGGATTGATTTAGGAGTTTAAGGGATAATTTTGCTGCTTTATCTGCCTTTTCATTTCCAAAGAAATATAGCAAAGTCACCTGACATTTAGTAAGTAATAAATATAAATGTAAACAGTAATTCATCAGTGACATACTTGCACATCTCATTCAGGATGGCATACGGTCGATGTACACAAAAATGGGGATTAACAATTTGGATTAGCATCTTATAAATAACAGCAATATAAGTGTTATTGGTGTCGTAAATCAGTCGCTATGACGATATTAAGATGGATGGTTTACAATCCGTGTTATTAGGACATGATTCATTATAATTGCGGTTCAGCCATCTGAATGCACCCTCCAAGGCCAGGAGCTGCTCACCTGCGAGAAGCGTTTTGACCCAATGACACTTGTTAAGCAAGTGCGCGCGCACACCCTCTGGAGGGTTAAGCTCGCTGAAGGTATTCAACAGGTAGTAGCGCGAGGCTCAAGACGTATACCGCGAGTGGTAGCGGCAATACCTTCTGTTGGATTTACAAACAGTACTTCCCAGACAAACATCGATCAGGATGCCAGCTAACGGTCACGTTAATGAAGGATATGAGAAGGTAAGAAGTTGTTTTTTAAATCGTGGACACAATTACAACGATACTTATTCTCAACACCTGTAGCAGCCGTGAGAACTTCTGTACTCGCGACCACAGCAACATTCATAAAATGTCGTATCGTGTTCACATCAGTGTGACGAAAACAATGCTTGATTTGGCGATTAAACAAACAAGCATCCAAATACAGTTGCTCCCCTGGGGTGACAGGTGTCACAGCTTTAAGTAATAAGATAAATAATGCCCCCAGGACAACATGGTATTAACAAAGATGTTTATTTAAGACACTACATATATACTTGAACGTATGTGGAAGGTAGAGGAATGAAGAAGATATTATTTGGACCTTTTTATCTCACTGGGAAAAAGTACTTTGTGAGTTATGGAAAATATCGTCATAAACATCGGATGTGTTATTGTTTATGACACCTCGCCTCGATTTATTTCTCATACGTTTTAGACTAGTGACATGATCAGAATTTTAATGATATCTGGAGAGTACTTACCTATATCCTAGAAAATAGTCAACTTCTTCAAGTTCACAAATTAGGAAACGTACCCGACAATCTCCAAAACACATACCAGCCTTACAACGACAATTAGTGAACTATAGTTATCAGTTCAAACAATTTGTTTCTGAACTTATTCACCCTAAAATGACTCTTTTAATTACCTAACCTTGCCACGATCAATTGCCGTCTTGTTGACGCATATAGTCTTAACGGGCGAATTCGAACAAACACGTATTAATATTGACAGCGTTTACATGACATGCACTATGTCTTTCGCGACGCTTTCAGTACAATTGTATCGTTACAAAAAACAACAACCCACACACAAGAATATAAGCTTGATGTTGAATACAGGCGTAAAATGGTGCTTTGTCAGTGTTTATCGTGTACCAAACTTTCATAAATCATACAGTCAGAAAGGAATTATCGTTATTTTCTTTTACGATAATGATTGCGTACCAGTGGCGTGGGAATGCAAGTGAGGAAGGCATTTTCAACCCGATCTATGCTCGGCCGAATTGGCAGTACAAGTTTGATGAAATACGTTTAAACAGACTGTACTCTATGTAAAGAAACTGACAATTATTAAATATCTTAATTAACGAATTGTTACATGGTCACGGAAAGCACTATGCTGACTCCGGACAGGAGGACATGGATGACTGTTGATGACCTGGTGCGGGATGTGCGTATGTGTGTGTGTTTGTCACGACTCAGAATCGGTTCAGTTTGATGATAGTCTGAACCATTTGTTTACCAACTGCAGCGTGATCTCTGTGAATGAGCCGTGATTGCATGCTCACAACCGAACACGCGTCTTTTGAATGCCATTGAAAGCTTGACCGAAATAACGGCTGTGGGTAAATAATGCCCCGCCAGGCCCAACGGACAACTTCGCATTACATAAAACCTTATTAAAGCTCTCTATTGAAGTTGCCTCGTTGTATGACGCCTGTCTGAAATAGTTTTGAAAGGCGTTTTTAAATGACACGCGAAATGTCGCGATGGCAATGTAATTCATAATTTAATGTGTGCGAATGCCGGTGTCAATTCATTGTAAAGAACTTTTCTTACACAACCGGGACTGGTTTTCTTTTTCAAATTTTGCGGTCAAGCCTCAACACTGGGTTCTGTACTCTTGGACTTAAATATGGGTTTAACGCACATAAATATAATGCAAAACACATCAATGCAAAGTTGCTATGAATCCGACCGCCGTCATATAACTTGAATATTACTGAATGCGGCGTTAAACAACAAACACATGCTGTAACACCAGAGGCCATTTTGAAGCATACTTCTACTTTGATATGAATAACGTAATCCTTGTACGAGCCAGAACCTGGAATTCATGCAGACAAGGAAGTACATTTACTGTTAACCACCATCTAAAATCACACAGACAAAAGTTTTCTCTCCAGCAATATGCAAAACAAGCCGTCGTGCATACCGGCTTCTGATTGGACAACGTCACAAGACAGGAATTCATATCCGGGTCACCCTGACTCACAGTTGTCCACAACGACATGATTTATGTGCTAAGCCGAATTTCTTAGTTGTACCTGGGACGTGCCTGGGGCGGTCTCATGTACAAGGTGCATTGCGCAAACTGTTCATCATAGATGGGAACATTTATCATGAAATATTTGTTGGCCAAAAGCTACCCATCCTTTTCCTGGCACAGGATCACATGTCACCCTTGCCAATGTCATCCTGGTGATCCTGGGCAGTCCGTCACGGATCTGTGGCTGGTTCTCATGGGCGATTCATGGCCACTATTGTCCAGGGCACTCAGTCAAATTCGTGACCGCCCAAGATTGACCCATCAAGTCGGTGGTAATTGTTGTAAAGCATCTGTACGTTGATGTCGATAATCAGCTCACCTCAACCGTGCAGGGAGTTCATGTCAACCAAGCAGGTTATTCCTATACGTGTAAGACTTCTCACAATGGTAAATGGAACAGAGGGGTAAGTTACCCATGAAGATCTGTGCCAGAGTTGGACTTCAGCAACCCACGCTTGTCGCATTAAAGAGGCGACTAACGGGATCGGGTGGACAGGCTCGCTAACTTAGTTGATGCATATCGTATCCCAATTGCATAGCTCGGTGCTCATAATGTCAATCACTGGATTGTCTGATCCAGACTCGATTATTTACAGACCGCCGTCATATAGCTTAAATATTGCAAAGTGCGGCGCTAAGCAACAAATAAACAAACAAACAAAGATTACATATACGATTGTACCAGGCTGCTACATCGCAAGTCCTTCCGTATGCGAAGCACGATTACACATGAATAATGGCACACATGGCTCAATTACTGAAACTATAGGGTCACAAAGCATCACGGATATCACCAATGGTTGTATCGACTCTCACTCGTGTCCTCGGTGTGTTTAGGGTGTATTTACATGTACCACTAAACTGTGAGAATATAAAAGCACACACAAGCGACCACGACTTACAAGTAGACCACCGCTCACTGCAGTTCTATTCTTTTGTGTTTGTTTGTTGTTAAACGCCTCACTAGCAATATTCAAGCTATATGACGGCGGTCTGTAAATAATCGAGCCTGGACCAGACAATCAAGTGATTGACATCATGAGCATCGATCCACGCAACTGGGATACGATGACATGCATCAACCAAGTCAGCGAGCCTGACCACCCGATACTGTTAGTCGCCTATTACGACAAGCATAGTAGCCTTATTTACGGCAAGCATGGGTTGCTGAAGATCTTCACGGGTCCAGTTCTATTCATTGGGTTACTGGACTGGTTAATGCATATATGTCAATTACACAACCAAACTAAAAATTATACGAATACTACTATTTAAACTATAACCACAATGTTCCGGTTGTTTGTTGTTATATGACGGCAGTCTGTAAATAATCGCGTCTGGACCAGACAATCACGTGGTTGACATCATGAGCATCGCAATTGGGATAGGGTGACATGCATCAACCAAGACAGTGAGCTTGACCACCCTGTCCCGTTAGGGCCTCCTACGACCAGCAGGGTTGCTGAAAATCAGTTCTAACCAAGATCTTCTCGGGTTTAATGTTCCAGACGAGATAGGCCGGCGGAACATCATTGTCAACTTTGTAATTCCTCTGCTGTTGAAGACATGTTTTTATAACCTTGTTTACCCGACATATTGGTTGTTCTACATATGGTCATATCAACGTGCAATGCTTTTACACACATGTATTGTATTCAGATATTGTCTAACATTGAAACTAAATACATTGTCCTTCTATTTCAGGAAAATGGATACCATCCCGGAAAAGATCCAATTGTAAGTACCAGCTTGATATTTGTAGCACGTGAATTTGAAGCATGATACCTACCATTATGGAACAGGGTTTAATCGACACCCCAGGTCGCTTTGTTGTGACCCCATAGCTGCATGCTCTGCTGGTTATCGGTGCCAGTTCCATAATCGCGCTTTTTATGGTGTTTGGTCCCTGTCTATCGGTGTAAAGTTTCAGTGGTGAATACCTACGTCATGGGCCACTCATGAAGCTGACACACATTCATATAACCGATTATAAACTCAAAGCCTACTCACAAAAATGAACATTAACGAGCCATGCCACATAAGGTTTAAATAAAAACAGTTTTTACTATAGTCACGTGTTTTACTTTGCTATTATTTATGGGAAATAAAACCGTACAAATAAGCAAACATTTTATATGTGATACGTATATTGTTTGTTTGTTGTTCAACGCGCCACTCAACAATATTCCAGCTATTTGACGCGGTCTGTAAATAATCGAAACTCGCGAACTCTTATTAACTCCCTTTTTGTAAGGAAATTTGAGAAGAATATGAGTTGGTTTGTTTGTTATTTAACGCCGCACTTAGCAATAGTCCAGCCTTTATGACGGCGGTCTGTACATAATCGAGTCTGGATCAAACAATCTAGTGATTGACATCAATGAGCATCGATCGACGCCATTGGGATACGGTGATATGCATATAGCCGTCATATCGCTTGAATATTGCTGAGTGCGGCATTAAACAACAAACAAAGAAGCAGCTGGGCTTAACAAGTTTGTTTGTTTGTTGTTTGCAATTGGGATACGATGACATGCATCAACCAAGTCAGTGAGTCTGACCACCCGATCCCGTTACCCTTCACCAGGGGTTGGTGAAGACTAATTTTAGCCCGGATCTTCACGGGATCATCATGATCTGATACACCATGATTCAAGCGTTATGCTTTACTTTGTTGTTTTAGGACAACAAGGTGATAGAGGTGGAGGATAATGATGATGTGGAACAAGAGGAAGATCCCTGGAAGGTGACAACCATTGAAGTGGATGAAAAACCGTGGTCTGGTCAGTGATGAGGCAGATTGTGTAAATCTTCGTTAGTTCGAACTGCGTTATGTATCTTTATGTTGCGACATAATGTGTATGTGTTCTAATCGGATATAGGAACTTAAGCTGTCTCGAATTACGGATAATTCGACATATTTTCTACTCTTTTATGGATTTCGAGTTAACACGTTCTTACTGTGAAGTTAAACAACATGAAACACAATAATTTCGAATATTTTTCCGATGATGCAACGTTATGGTCCCTATTGGCGCAATGGATGAATATTGGTACTTCGCTTGTCTCGAACTTGTCTTGTATTCGAAGGCCCCAAGGACACCGAATTAACGAGGTTCCACCCGCTTGTCTCGAACTTGTCTTGTATTCGAAGGCCCCATGGACACCGAGTTAACGAGGTTCAATCCGCTTGTCTGGAACTTGTCTTGTATTCGAAGGCCCAATGGACACCGAGTTAACGAGGTTCCATCCGCTTGTCTGGAACTTGTCTTGTATTCGAAGGCCCAATGGACGCCGAGTTAACGAGGTTCCATCCGCTTCTCTGGAACTTGTCTTGTATTCGAAGGCCCAATGGACACCGAGTTAACGAGGTTCCATCCGATTGTCTGGAACTTGTCTTGTATTCGAAGGCCCAATGGACACCGAGTTAACGAGGTTCCATCCGCTTGTCTGGAACTTGTCTTGTATTCGAAGGCCCAATGGACGCCGAGTTAACGAGGTTCCATCCGCTTCTCTGGAACTTGTCTTGTATTCGAAGGCCCAATGGACACCGAGTTAACGAGGTTCCATCCGATTGTCTGGAACTTGTCTTGTATTCGAAGGCCCAATGGACACCGAGTTAACGAGGTTCCATCCGATTGTCTGGAACTTGTCTTGTATTCGAAGGCCCAATGGACGCCGAGTTAACGAGGTTCCATCCGCTTGTCTCGGACTTGTCTTGTATTCGAAGGCCCCATGGAAACCGAGTTAACGACGTTCCACCCGCTTGTCTCGAACTTGTCTTGTATTCGAAGATCCACGGAACACTGATTTAACGAGGTCTCACTGTATTATTCATTCATAGTTAGCACTTGATGAGTAAAATTCTATATTTCTTTCAACACAGAGTTGAACTGTGGAGAGCTGGTTTTCCGATTGGGCAAGTACTTGATTGGAATCCTACTCATCCTCGGTTTCCTCTATCTGTTCATCTGTTCCCTGGACTTCCTCAGCTCGGCCTTCAAGCTCCTGGGAGGTAAGTCTCAGTACCAGTCAGCATCGGGTTAGTAGTGAGGGAAGGAGGAGGGGGGGGGGGGGGGGGGGGGGATTGGTTATACGCTGCTTTGAGTGCTATTTCCGTTAATCACGGAGTGTCATCTTTATGTTGGGGAAAATGTGACGCAGATGGCCGACAATTCTCGTCGAGGTACCACGGGTACTGACAAATGGAGAATCTATGTTTACAATCCACCATCCGCGGATGCTGGTACGTTTGATTGACGCAACTACGAATTGCGTGGCCTTAAATTACCGGACAACCTGTGACCCCTCGACCCCCGATGTCTGTTCTCGTTTTACCATTTCACACCTCCAATCAGAGATGCTTCGCTGTGTATTTGAAACATGGACAAACGTCATATGATACCCAACCAATCACTAAGTTGATGATAGATTTGAGTTGATTTGAACCCAAGATGAGTGAGTGAGTGTATGTGGTTTAACACCGCTTATAACAGTATTCTAGTTTCGGCGTACCGGCATAATGTAGAAGGAAAGCCCGAATTGACGTTTACCACTTGGGTGAAACCAACGAGAAACCTAGAAACATCGGAGCGAACCGGGATTCCAACCCACAATGATAAGTTTCTGGTGTGTCCAAGGGACGCAACTCTGCACAGCGAATGTCGGCGCCTTACACAACTGGGCCACCCATGCCCTGACCCCAGGATGATCACACAGTAGCTTTGTTCAGCTTTGAAAACCAAGCTGGACTAAACATTTAGTATTTAAGTTGCAAGGTCTACACCAATGAGTACTAATGTGCTTTATGATGCTTCAGAGCGTTGTTCTGATTGTGACCTTGTGAAGATTGTGAAGGCCTGAAATACAACATAACATTACTTCCTACAGGTAAGGCCGCAGGTCAGGTGTTCCAGAACAATGAAATTCTGTCGAATCCCGTGGCGGGGCTGATGATTGGCGTCCTTGTCACTGTCCTGGTGCAAAGCTCCTCCACGTCCACCTCCATCGTCATCAGCATGGTCGGCGCCGACAGTAAGTACATCGTCCTTGCATCTTCTAATAATGTTTACTTTTAAGTGAGTGAGTGAGTGAGCTAGCAGCACATTATGTCAGTATAATTCTCTGCCATTGCATAATTCGACCAGCAGCCTACATCATTAGTCATATGTCACGGTGACAAAAAACGCATAATGAGACCTTGGAACTCAAAGTTATGGGAACCATCGTAAATATATAGGTTATCAGTAGTGAGTGAGTGAGTGAGGACTTACGGCGCCATTAGGAACATTCCGGCCATATCGCCCGGAGATTCCAGAAAACGGCTTTACTTATTGGTCCCAATTGGGGAAAGGACCCTGTCTTTCGGTGTTAAAAGCGAACGCTTTCCACAGCCAGGCTACCCCACCTGTCCAACAGTAGAACACATACACATATACATTATCATCAGCCTCAGCTGGAGTCAGTATTCTGATTAATACCACCAATATGTCAATGTGGAAAGACGTCTTGCACTGATTAAGTATATGATAAACAAGTGGTATGAATAATATTAACTGTTTTTAATCGCATCTACCGTTATACAAATAACGTATGCTGCTGTAACTTCGTAGTGAATGTGAGTGAGTTGGGTTTAACGCCGCTTTTAACAGTATTCCAGTTATATCACGGCTTGTCAGTTTAATGTGGGAGGAAAGCCCGAAGTTATGCAGGTCTCAGACGTTAACCACTTCAGTGAAGCCCACGAGCACGGGTATGGTGCTGACAAACCTAGAAACATAATCGGGGCGAATCGGGATTCGAACACACAATCATAGGTTTCTGGCGTGCCCAAGGGACGCAACTCTGCACAGCGAATCGCGGCGCCTTGGACGACTGGGCCACCCGTGCCCCCTGTAACATCGTAATAAAGCTTGATTTGCCTTATGGTTGTGGCTAAAACTATTTCCTTATTTGCCGTGCGGTGAATCACGATTCGTGTCTTATCGTATTTGTTCTAACTATTCTGTTCAATAAACCCTTATCGCATTGGTTACCTGTTTGTAATTGTAATTGTCTACCGCCCGTTGAAACTATTAATTCGTAATTCATCAAGGATAATGTTCAAGAGACTTAAAAAGTTTGCTTTGATGATACTTTCATGGGAAAACATTTGGTTACTTCGCTGAAATGAATGTCCTTTCTTCCAGTTCTGACAATCCCTATAGCGATCCCAATCATTATGGGAGCCAATATTGGAACATCTGTCACCAACACCATCGTCGCAGTCGGTCAGATCCACAACAAGGCCGACTTCCGACGTGCCTTCGCCGGCGCCACCGTGCACGACATGTTCAACTGGCTCACTGTCATCGTCCTCCTTCCCCTGGAGGTCATCACCGGTAATAGTGTAACCCAGTACAGTCAAACCTCATTAATCTGGACAGTACTGCATTAGACGAGGCCCGGACTAACGGGGTTGTACTTTACAGATTAAGAAACAAACGGTTTATCGTTCAATTGTTATATATTGAGTATACGTTAGTCCTCTTTAGTATTGTCAACGAAATAGGCATATCCCGTCAGAACTTGGTGAGGGTCTGGAGTACATTTTATGGTCTTACAAATTTTGAATACGAAACTCGCGAAATCTTATAAACTCACTTTTTGTCAGGAAACTTGAGAAGAATATGATTTGGTTTGTTTGTTATTTAACGCCACACTAAGCAATAGTCCAGCCTTAAATGACACACACGTCACACGTTTTAACTCCCCGAGACACCGATGATGTATGCTGACCCGAAACCCCCGCACCTGTTGTCTGATGGAGTGTACAACATCGCTATCTTTATTCAGGCTATTTAAGCAAGCTGAGCGGTGTCATTGTGAACTCTATCCCGGACCTGGCACCAGATAAAAGCGCAAACCGTGACTTCCTGAAGGTCATCACGAAGCCTTTCACAACGATGATCATAGAGGTGCGTACACATACCAGAGCAAATTCATGTTTGGCTGTTCCTTAATAAATCCTAGGTGTTAGATACGTGCTGTCTCCAGCTGGCATAGGGACGGTGTGTAGAGTTGGATGACAATTTAGGCCACGGGGTACCAAGGGTAGTAATAATCGACCAGGTGTGTTTGTGTTGGTGTTAGATCCCGTTAGTCGCTTTTACGACTTGGGACCCTTCTATCCTGCATTCCACATGTGCGTGCGTGCGTGCATTGCTCGTGCATTGTGTGTGTGTGTGTGTGTGTGTGTGTGTGTGTGTGTGTGTGTGTGTGTTACTACCAAAATACTAGCTTTGTGTTAGTACCAAAGAAACATATGGTTCAGGGGATGATTGTTTCAAGAGACTCGGGTCCAGGACGTTGTAGTTAATGACTTGTGACATTGCATGTATCCTATTAGTGTCTTCATCAGCAGTTGTACTAATAGTCATGTTATAATATGCGTTTACAGACCTACAAAATGGGTTATGAATAACAAATCAAATTGGCCCAAATCTAATTTTCCAATAGCTATGACATATTAAATGTAGATGGGGGATGTAGTGAACGCTGGTACAGTACAACCAGGTAACCAATATAATCAAAATATGGCATTATTACCAGGTATAATTCGTGGTTTTCAGAGGTACATGTTTAGGTGTTCACCTTAATCAAACTATAATTCTGTGACATTACTGAAATACTGTTCAAAACGATGTTAAACCCAATCTCTATATCCCCAAATCATTGGCACAACAGGTGCAAGCATTGGCTTATACTCTCTTAGTACAGTACCTTTGAACATAGTCCCTGTTTGTTCCAGGTTGACAAAAGCGCCATTACCAAGATTGCCACAAAGACACACAAAGGCGAGTCGCTGATGAAGACGTGCTCTGACAAGGTGTCCCCGGTGTCCTGCTGCGATTCTACCCTCGACTCCATGGGCGTATACAACAATGCTTCCTACACCTACGAAAAGCAGATCCAGGTCTGCAGTGCCCTCAACACCTGCGCCCACAAACACACCTGCGTTGACGACTTGTGGAAGGGCGACACATTCAGCTGCAGCAACTTCGCCCTGGACACTGCATGCTGCGACAACTTTATGAACACATCCTCTTATACCAGCAACATCACAGATAGTGTGAAGAAGCGCTTCTGTGGCGACCTCGTGGCATCCTGTCAGAACAATTACCTTGTTACAAAGGACTGCATGAGAACAGCGTGGTCAAACAGCACTGTGTTCTCCTGTGACTCGTGGATCGAAATCGAGACAAGCTGCATCAAACCTAGTATGTACTTGTACCAGTTATTAACATGCATATGAATTAAATATTTCATAGTTATGTAAAAGCTTTATCGTAACTTTGACAGATGCCTTCGACCTTGCTCTTTTAAGCTGGGTAATATACGTGGGTAATATACACTGTCGGTACAGGTGAGGTTAGGTGAAATGGGGTATAACGTCGCGTCCAAGATTATTGCACTTATATAGCGACGTGCATGCACGTGTATGTGTGTGTGTGTGGCTGCTAGTCCGGATTGATGCCGATTTATAGTGCTAGCACACTGAAATACCATGCCGCAGTTTATTTCACATGTACCCCACTCAGACACAGTATACTGACTCCGAGCCGACCAGTCCTTGTTTTAGCCCCTTAAGGCCGAGCGCCAGACAGGGTAACAACAACCATCTTTTAACGTCTTTTGTATGACGCGGCTGGGGATCGAACCCCGGACCTTCCGCTCTCCGGGCGGACGCTCTACCATTAGACCACGGAGGCGGTCCCTGTCGGTACAGTAATTCTCTGTCGTAAAACTTTGAACGTTTTTGCTCTGATCGGTGTCTGGGCGGTGGGTAGCTAGTGATCGTTTGTTTGTGTTTGTGTTTACACTTATACATGTGTAATTTCTTTTAAGGCTATGTTGTTTTTATTCTTACTGATCACTATTCAATGAACGAACAGGTAACTCAAAATGCCTTATCTTTTTCAGAAACTCACCTGTTCATGGGCCTGTATGGAAAGATTGACGACGTCTACATTGGAGCCATCCTGCTGGTGATATCGCTTGCTGTGTTGTGCATCTGTCTAGTATGTATTGTCAAGCTCCTCAACGCCCTTCTCAAGGGCCAGATTGCATTGGTTATCAAAAAGTTCATCAACGCTGATTTTCCAGGCAAATGTTCTTACTTCACCGGATATCTTGCCATATTGCTGGGAGCTGGACTGACAATTCTTGTCCAGAGCAGCTCCATCTTCACCTCCACGCTAACACCCCTCGTAGGAATCGGAGTCATTGAACTTGACCGTATGTACCCTCTCACCCTTGGTTCCAACATTGGAACCACGACCACCGGTATTCTCTCAGCTCTTGCTCAAGACGGTTCCAAAATCAAAGACTCTCTCCAGGTGGCCTTATGCCATCTCTTCTTCAATATCAGTGGAATCCTGATATTCTACCCTTTTCCATTCTTCCGCCCGGCAATTCCACTGGCCAAATTTTTGGGCACAGTCACTTCCAAGTACCGTTGGTTTGCGTTCGCATACCTGATCGCAATGTTTTTCATCTTACCGGCTGTTGTGTTCGGATTGTCCATCCCTGGTTGGTATGTTCTTGCCGCCGTGCTCATCCCCATCGCTATCATCGTCATCATCATCTGCATCGTAAAACTGATACAGAAGAAGAGACCTCTTTGGCTTCCAACGAAGTTTCGCACCTGGAAGTGGCTCCCGGAACCCATGCGCTCCCTCCGACCTTATGACAACGTCATGAAGCGCGTGTGCTGCCCCTGTCTAATGTCTGATGAGGCAAAGGAAGAAGATGAAGATTATGAGGGTGATGATCCAAAGAAGCCCAAGTCCACTGGGACAGCCGTGGCTACACAACTACGAGAGAGACGCCAAGACACACGACTTTAACTTTCCCAGAATCAGTGTACATAAAGATGTTAACGTTTTGACAGTTCTTTTTCTAATTATCGGGGACTTCATGGGTATGGAATCATAAGTACCCACTTCAAGAGAGTAACATGTGCAGTATTGTACACCACAGTACATCCTTATACACCATGGTACATATTATTACATCAAGATATGTCGTGACACATGATGGTATATCTTGCTACATCACCGTGTTATCCAATAGAGCATAATATTACATCCTGGTACATGATACTACACTACGGTACATTGTGGTGTATCGTACATCACTACAGGAGTATCCGTCAGATACCTTTTATCTTACCAGTAGTTGTTAAAAAAACGTATCTAACGAGCTAAAGCGAGTTACATACGTATTGAAAGAACTAGTTGAAAGATAAATGGTATCTAACAGGCACGAGTGCAGTAATGTGTTTCTTACACACACTAAAATCGCACCATTTTGTTCTTTTATCATGATCGCAGTGGCGCGTTAATACATAACACATGCTTACTACTCACACCCAGTCGGACCATCCGCAAGAAAGTTTCAGCCATGTCTGTGGGACCAGAATCTTATCAATGAATTACAATCAGGAAAGTAGTCTCACCCTAGGTCATCACCATGGAGTATTCAATCACGGATATGGAATTCAATCTCACACATATGTTTGATATCAGTTATCTCAAATGGGTTTCTCACCCAGAGATGTGTCAGAAAGAATGTTCCATGTACATGTTGGTAGGCCACTGCAAGTTACACCCATCATGACAGTGACGTAAGTTTTGAGCTGAGTGTTTACCACTCATGCACGATGACATAACTATTGGTATTATACTTTGGGCCTTTAGAATTCTTTCTAAATTATGTTAGCAACCATCGGGTGTTGCTTGTGAATACGAGCTTAGCAGTTCAGTCAATATGCTGTGTATACATTCAAAGATTCTTTCTAGTACAGTGTCAAGGCAGGACAATTCATACTCCTCTTTGACATACATTCTGATCAACGATAATGCATCAGGTGCTTTACCATTATTCATATTTTACAAAATATTTCACTATTTCCGCATCAAAGTGTTCATGGTCTGTGATTAAAAGAATGTTGAAGTCGTTTCTAACGAATGTACATACATCATTATCACATATATTGAATCGTCATACAATACCTTATTTGTCATGTGTAATATGTGTAATATATTTTTTAGCTGTATGTTATGTTATATTTTACATTAAATATTTTGACAAACGGATTTCTTTTCTGATTTTGTTTGATCGAGTATATATTTGTGTAGAACATGATAATCTAGACTGGGGAATACTTCAGTAGGCTATTACTTCCACTCCTGCGATTGACGTTCCGCTCAGGTACTATGATTAGGTTGGCCTATTCGCATCACTCATATCAATCCCGTGAAGATCCTGGGTAGAGTAGGTCTTCAGCAACCCATGCTTGCCGTAAAAAGCGGCTGTGCTCGTCGTAAGAGGCGACTAATGGGATCGGGTGGTCAGGCTCGCTGACTTGGTTAATGCATGTCATCGTATCCCAATTGCGTGGATCGATGCTCACTGGATTGTCTGGTCCAGACACGATTATTTACAGACCGCCGTCAATCAGCTGGAATACTGTTGAGTGCGGCGCTAAACAACAAACAAACAAACATTTGTATAAAATTCAAACTCGCTCACTTCTACCAAAACAAATCTTATTTGAGGAAAGTTACGATGACTAAAGGCTGTAAACGAACAACACATCTGTTACATTGTAAAGTATTGTAACTATATAAGTACCTAAGAATAAGAAATATATCTACTCGAGGTTAATAAGTTAATAGGGGCGGTCGGGTAGCCTAGTGGTTAAAGCCTCGCTCGTCACGCCGAAGACCCGGGTTCGATTCCCGACATGGGTACAATGTGTGAAGCCCATTTCTGGTGTCCCCCGCCGTGATATTGCTGGACTATTGCTAAAAGCGGCGTAAAACCATACTCACCCACTCACTCACTCACTAACAAGTTAATACAATATTTGAAACATGCACCTTTCTGCCTACCCACCGACCAATACCACCTATATATACATGTACCAATCTACCAACTTATCTACCTAGCTACCTATACCTATCAAATTCGGGCAAGCGTTTCGGGAGACTAGCTAACAGCTAACAGTCCACTGGGGTCATTCTCTTATTCGTTATTGGTGGGCACGGGTCGTCTAAGTCTTCTACGCCGCCGCAATTCGCTTTGCAGATTTGCGTACCTTGGGTACACCAGAAACTTATGATTGTGGGCTCCAATCCTAGTTCACCCCGATTATGTGTCTTGGTTTGTCACCACCACTGTGGGTTTCACTAAAGTGATAAACGTCTGAGACCTGCATCACTTTGGGCTTTCCTACCACATCAAGCTGACACGCCATGATATAACTGGAATACTGTTATTCACTGTGTTATTGTATTTAACTTCGCACAAAGCAGCAGGTGTAATATTTCCATTTAGATGAAATGTCAACCTGGGATGGCTTTTAAGAAAGATTGCAAAGTTTATGAAAGCTATCAAGACCAGCTGACTCATTCCACCCAGTAAAGACCTTTATTCTCTCAGAAATGTAAATTAGTTTGAACGTATCTCCCCAAAATGCCATAGCTATGCCCATAGCTTGAGGGCAGTTCCGTAACTTGTAACATGGCTACTTTACTTGGCTAATTGCGCCATGTTTGACATGTATAAACTAATATGATAATATGTGGTGCAAAAATTCAATACGTTTCTTAAGGATCAACATTTTAGGGAGTAAATATGTTTTCCATACAATATCAATGTTGGCACCTTCTCCTCGCATTGAAAACCCTCGTTGACATTAGTTTTTGCACTAGCTAATGAGGTCGCAGGGCCTCAAGTGAGCATCACCAAGCCACGAGTGAAGCTTAAATGGACCATCCACAATATAGTGTACAGCCTAGTAATCCTTCTATACTGTTTGGGATACTACTCTGGCAATAATCCTATCATTGGCTATTTGTATACCTCAGACTTTTTGTCAAGGGGTGTAGCCAAGCAGAACAAAAATCTCAATTACCTGGTCGCAGGAGTCTTTTAAACAAGCTGCGCATCGGGACGTATACCGTACGCATACCATTATACGTTTCAAATGTAAAGTTGTATTTCACGAGGGGCAAGGTGTTAAAGCAATAAAGCATCGGGACGTATACCGTACGCATACCATTATACGTTTCAAATGTAAAGTTGTATATCACGAGCGTCAAAGTGTTGAAGCAATAAAGAACAATGCCTGTACAAACGGGTCGTAGGCAGAATGTTCCTTGCGATTTGTAACTCGGGGGCAGTGGGATATGAATATCATTACATGTTTGAGTGTAGTTCAATTCCCCATGTAGGTACAATGTGTGTAGCCAATTTCTGGTTTCTCCCGCCGTGATATTGCCGGAATTTTGGCGGCGTAAAACAGTACACACTCACTCAGTTTCCACTCTTGCCGAACTATGTTGGAATTAAGCATAGTCCAATCAAAATTGCGTAACGAAATCGATATCCGGTTCGGAAACTGCCTTGCAGATTTCGGGCGATTGCAGTATTTGCAAAGCATGTGTACCTTTAACAAGCCGTCAACAGATATTTTCAAAATCTTTTCATGTTTTTAATCAAGGTGTTCGCGAAATAAGACCCGTTTTATTACAAAATAGTTCGTGCATATCGATCAGATCTTGACTGGACGCCGCTATTATGTTTGAGGTGAGGTGAAATTTGGTTTAACGTCGCGTCCAAGATTATTGCACTTATATAGCGACGTGCATGCACGTGTATGTGTGTGTGTGGCTGCTTGTACTAGTCCGGACTGATGCCGATTTATAGTGCTAGCTCACTGAGATACCATGCCGCAGTTTAACATGAATACCCCACTCAGACACAGTATACTGACGCCGAGCCGACCAGTCCTTGTTTTAGCCCCTTAATGCCGAACGCCAGACAGGGTAACAACAAGTACAATCTTTTAACGTCTTTTTGTATGACGCGGCCCGGGATCGAACCCTGGACTATTATGTTTGAAGCAAATGCAAGTGATATGAGAGGTGGAATCTGATTGGTCAATAGGAGGGACATAACTCGTAATAGTTACTGGTGGTGCTACGATCGAGCCACCAAAATTCCAGCCTAGTTCGGCAAGGGTCGAAACTGGACTTTTACAGTCAGATTACTCCCTTGCCTCGGGAAGATGCATTACATCAATGTAGGCTTTGATGTACTCGTTACTTACATTGTCTAAACCTCAGATCTTGGACACATGACATAATGTCCTCTTCAGTAACAAGACAATCTAACACCCCAACTGGCTGTGCATCTACACGTACTTTATCATCAATGGTATTTCCCCCACATCTTTCCGTGGGCTGCGGATTGAAGGCCCTGGAAGATATATCCTAATTGTTACATTAATGTCAAAATCTAAAACAATTTCAAATGTTGATGATAACAAGACAAAGAACGATGATCATTATGTCGACATTCGCCGTGATGACGATACCGATAATGATATTAATAACAATACGATTTAGGAATCGGCGATTTTGATGATGGTGATAATAATAATGGTGGCGACGACGGCGATAATGATTATGAAGATGATGATGATGATGGTGGCGTAATCTAAAAGCAGGACCACACTGAAGGAGCGCTGCGAAGCACGACAAAGCATTTTATTTTCATAATATTATCCACGGTGCGACAGGGCAACAAGCAGCAAAAATCACTCTTTGAGCGGTGGGAATAAAATGCTGTCGACGAGGCGGTGACGGGCTGCTCTAGTGGGATTCTTATGGGATACCGACTGTGGGCCAGCCTTAACACAAACTGATCTAAACTGTAAAAACATTAAAAATTAAACTTTTTATACAAAATAAATACAGATAATTATTAATTGCTGATGCACCTCTAAACTGAGGGTACAACAAGAGCATGTTGGTCGAAGTTGAGCATGAACTGTCAATGAGTTATATTCGCAAAGAAAGTCCATGTATCCTTTGCTAAGTTCCGATCAGGATTATATACATGACCTTATGTTTTATAAATGGATTTCCATGGAACGACTCACATGTGTACATGTTGTGAAGCGACTATGCTTGTCGTAAACCGCGACTAACGGGATCGGTGGTCAGGCTCGCTGACTTGGTTGAGGCATGTCATCGTATCTCAGTTGCGTAGATTGACGCTCAATGACATGATGTCAATAACTGTATTGTCTGGTCCAGACGCGATTATTTACCGACCGCGTATAACTGGAAGATTGCTGACGGCGGCCTTAGACAACAAAAAAACAAACATATTGTACTTTGAATAGTGTAAAAGATGAACTTTACTTTATGCTCATAATTAAAAAAAGCGTAATACTATATTCATTGGAAATATATAGACTATCCATCCCCACATATGTTATATATTCAGAGAACAACAACAAATTCCAAAATATTATTCTGTATGATCACCATTCTCTGGGGATTCTACGGGTACTCATACCCCCACCCCCAACAAGCAACCCCCATAATCCACCTAGCACCGACTCCGCTCCCTTTGTTGTCCTAGACATTAGACACCACTATTATGCGTTTAGATATAATCGCCAAGTTCATACACTTGGATTTCCTAACCCAGAGAGGTCTAATATACAGGTGGACGAGTCATTCTGTGGTATCTTATATCGACGTTAAGGAGAACGCACGAACAACTGTCGGCTTGTGAGTTAGAAACGTCGGGTGGATGTGATTGTGTTTCACAAGCCGATAGTTGGAAGTATGTTCTCTAGCTTAAACAAAATTCCAGAAATTGACTCCGGACTAGACCACATTGAAGTGTATTTGTTAAACTTCTATTAAAAATCTTGCAATTACATTGGTTAATCCGTACCACGTGACGAAATAATACATTTCAATGTTTACCCCCAAATCAGGTGACTGACACTGACCTCGAATATTGAATCGTCACATGATCAGTACTGACCTGTCACGTGATGAATATTGACTCGTCTGCTAGAAAACAAGATGGCGCCTGGTATATTAACATCTTACGGTTCGCAGCTGAGTTACTGAAATGAAACAGAAGACAGTTTCAGTGCTTTATAAATTTTAAAGTGAATTTCGACATAACAAACCGAATGATTACTCTTGAAGAGGTCATTATGAGAAAAGAGGGACCCTCGCACCCGACCCTTCGGCGGGTCTGACCGGACCTCGGCCTTTCCGGT